GCCCGGTAGGCAGGAAGGAGGTAGAAGTGTCCTGTAGGCAGGAAGGGGGTAGAAGTGTCCTGTAGGCAGGAAGGGGGTAGAAGTGCCCGGTAGGCCCGGTAGGCAGGAAGGGGGTAGAAGTGTCCTGTAGGCAGGAAGGGGGTAGAAGTGCCCTGTAGGCAGGAAGGGGGTAGAAGTGCCCGTAGGCAGGAAGGGGGTAGAAGTGTCCCGGTAGGCAGGAAGGGGGTAGAAGTGCCCGGTAGGCAGGAAGGGGGTAGAAGTGTCCGGTAGGCAGGAAGGGGGTAGAAGTGTCCCCGGTAGGCAGGAAGGGGGGTAGAAGTGCCCTGTAGGCAGGAAGGGGGTAGAAGTGCCGGTAGGCAGGAAGGGGGTAGAAGTGCCCTGTAGGCAGGAAGGGGTAGAAGTGTCCTGTAGGCAGGAAGGGGGTAGAAGCGTCCTGTAGGCAGGAAGGGGGTAGAAGCGCCCGGTAGGCAGGAAGGGGGTAGAAGCGCCCGGTAGGCAGGAAGGGGGTAGAAGCGCCCCGGTAGGCAGGAAGGGGGTAGAAGCGCCCGGTAGGGTTAAAGACATACAGTATATTTGAAAATGTATTTGTAAAAATTGTTTTTATATATTTTGTAATAAAAATGCATTTCAACATACAGTGTATATATATATATTTATATTTATTGAAATATATTTTGAAATATATTGAATACGGACACAATTGTAGCATTTCAAGTATATGTCAATATATTTGGGAAGAATAATTTTAAAATATATTCAAAATATATTTTTCCTCCATGTGGGATGGAATGAATGAATGTGCGGATTTAGGTGCTTTTTTATTCCTCCTCTCTGGATACAAGTTTTTCATACATGTTCCTGGATCTGGCAATGCAGCTCCCAAGCTTCTCTCATTGGTTAGCCAGAGGAGACTCAAATCAGAGACGTATAGAAAAAGAGCTCCAAACCAAAGTGGGTAAGGAGTCCAACATGCTTCTTATGGTTCATAAATCGATCATATATAAAAACATTCAACGCGTTTCGGAGGCATCAACTCCCCTTCATCAGGACTTAGAAGAGTCCAGAGACATATAGAAAAGGGCGCCAAACCAAGGGGGGTAAAGAATCCGAGATGCTTTTTATGTCTTATAATTCAAACATATAAAGACATCCACCGTGTTTCGGGTGCAAAAATCCCCCTTCATCAGGGCTTAGTGGAGCCGAGGGCGCCAAACCAAGGGGGGGGAAAGAATCCGATATGCTTTTTTACGTCTTTTAATTCAAACATATAAAGACATCCAAAGTGTTTCGGGGGCGAAAATCCCCCTTCAGGGCTTAGAGGAGCCGAGGGCGCCAAACCAAGGGGGGTAAAGAATCCAAAATGCTTTTTATGTCATAATTAAAAAGTATAAAAACATCCAACATGTTTCGGGGGCACAAATCTCCCTTCCTCAGGGCTTAGAGGAGCCGAGGGCGCCAAGGCAAGGGGGGTAAAGAATCCGAGATAATTTTTATGGCTTATAATTCAAACAAATTAAAGCAACCAACGCGTTTCACAGCCACAACTCCCCTTAATCAGGGCTTAGAAGAGTCCAGAGACATAAAGAAAAGGGCGCCAAACCAAAGAGGGGAAGAGCCTGAAATGCTTTTAACTGCTTAAACTTCAGTCCTATGAAAACATTCGTAGTTCGCTACTTTTTGATACTTTATTCTGTGAATGATCAGGTGGATGCAGACACGTAGGAGCCACTCAGAGAACCACACTCTGTTCCTTTGTTTGGTGTCTTTTTCTATATATCTCTGGACTATGCTAAGCCCCGATGAAGGGGAGTTGTTGACCCGAAACGCGTTGGCTGTTTTATTATGCTTGAATTACAAGCCATAAAAAGCATTGTGGACTTTTTAATCCTCCCTTCCTTGATTTGCGTCTTTTTCTTTATGTCTCTGGACCCTTCTAAGCCCTGGTGAAGGGGAGTTGTTGTCCCCCGAAATGCGTTGGATATTTTTATGTGATTGAAGTTAAAAACATAAAAAGCATCTCAGACTCTGTCCCCCCGCCTTGGTTTGGCGCCATTTCTATATATCTGTGGACTCTTCTAAGCCCGGATGAAGGGGGAGAAATTGAATGAGAAAACCATAAAAATTCATGTTGTACTCTTTACCCCCCCCCCAACCGCCGTAGGGTAAGCGATCGGTGTATCCCCCCCTTAGTTTGATGCCCTTTTCTATGTCTCTGGACTCTTCTAAGCCCTGATGAAGAGGAGTTGGTGACTTAAAGTGCATTGGAGGTTTCTATGTGATTGAATTTAAAACCATGTCAGACTCTCTACCCCCCCCCCCATTTGGTGCCCTTTTCTATATGTCTCTGGATTTCATCTAAGCCCTGATAAGGGGAGTTGTTGCCCCCCGAAACGCGTTGAGTGTTTTTATATGATTGAATTACAAGTCATTAAAAGCATCTCAGACTGTCCCCCCCCCCCTTTGGTTTGGCTCCCTTTTCTATATACAGTGGGGCAAAAAAGTATTTAGTCCCCACCAATTGTGCAAGTTCTCCCACTTACAGAGATGAGAGAGGCCTGTAATTGGCATCATAGGGAGACCTCAACTATGAGAGACAAAATGAGAAAACAAATCCAGACAATCTCATTGGCTGATCTGGAAAGAATTTATTTGCAAATTATGGTGGAAAATAAGTATTTGGTGAATATGAAAAGTTCATGTCAATACTTTGTTATATATCCTTTGTTGGCAATGACAGAGGTCAGACGTTTCCTGGAAGTCTTCACAAGGTTGGCACACACTGTTGCTGGTATGTTGGCCCATCCTCCATGCAGATGCTCCTCCTCCATGCAGATCTCCTCTAGAGCAGTGATGTTTTGGGGCTGTCGCTGGGCAACACGGACTTTCAACTCCCTCCAAAGGTTTTCTGTGGGTTGAGATCTGGAGACTGGCTAGGCCACTCCAGGACCTTGAAATGCTTCTTACGAAGCCACTCCTTCGTTGCCCGGTGGGTATGTTTGGGATCATTGTCATGTTGGAAGACCCAGCCACGTTTCAATGCCCTTGCTGATGGAAGGAGGTTTGCACTCAAAATCTCACGATACATGGTCCCATTCATTCTGTCCTGTACATGGATCAGTCGTCCTGGTCCCTTGGCGGAGAAACAGCCCCAAAGCATGATGTTACCACCCCCCCAATGCTTCACAGTAGGTATGGTGTTCTTTGGATGCAACTCAGCATTCTCTCTCCCTCCAAACACGATGAGTTGTGTTTCTACCAAACAGTTCTATTTTGGTTTCATCTGACCGTATGACATTCTCCCAATCCTCTTCTGGATCATCCAAATGCTCTCTAGCAAACTTCAGACGGGCCCCGGACATGTACTGGCTTAAGCAGGGGGACACGTCTGGCACTGCAGGATCTGAGTCCCTGGCGGCGTAGTGTGTTACTGATGGTAGCCTTTGTTACGTTGGTCCCAGATCTCTGCAGGTCATTCACTAGGTCCCCCCGTGTGGTCCTGGAATTTTTGCTCACCGTTCTTGTGATCATTTTGACCCCACGGGGTGAGATCTTGCGTGGAGCCCCAGAATTGGAGGGAGATTATCAGTGGTCTTGTATGTCTTCCATTTTCTAATTATTGCTCCCACAGTTGATTTGTTCACACCAAGCTGCTTGCCTATTGCAGATTCAGTCTTCCCAGCCTGGTGCAGGGTCTACAATTTTGTTTCTGGTGTCCTTTGACAGCTCTTTGGTCTTCACCATAGTGGAGTTTGGAGTGTGTGACTGTTTGAGGTTGTGGACAGGTGTCTTTTATACTGATAACAAGTTCAAACAGGTGCCATTGATACAGGTAATGAGTGCAGGACAGAGGAGCCTCTTAAAGAAGAAGGTCCAGGTCTGTGAGAGCCAGAAATCTTGCTTGTTTGTAGGTGACCAAATACTTATTTTCCACCATAATTTGCCAATAAATTCTTTCCAGATCAGCCAATGAGATTGTCTGGATTTGTTTTTCTCATTTTGTCTCTCATAGTTGAGGTCTCCCTATGATGCCAATTACAGGCCTCTCTCATCTCTGTAAGTGGGAGAACTTGTACCATTGGTGGGGACTAAATACTTTTTTGCCCACTGTATCTGTGGACTTTTCTAAGCCCTGATGAAGGGGAGTTGATGACTCGAAACGTGTTGGAGGTTTCTATGTGATTGAATTAAAAACCATGTCAGACTCCCCCCCCCCCCAGTTTTTGCTGGATTCTGGATTCCATCTAAGCCCTGATGAAGGGGAGTTGTTGCCCCCCGAAACGCATTGGATATTTTTTATCAAATAAATTATAACCCATAAAAATCATCTCGGATTTTCCCGCACTTTCGTTTGGCGCTCTTTTCTATACGTCTCTGATTTAAGTCTCCTCTGGCTAACCAATGAGGGAAGCCGCGTCTGTTCGGGAGCTGCGTTCCCAGAGCCAGTATGAAAACTTGCGTTTGATTGGATGAATTGGAATCCCGGCGCCGCGTTCCGGATTTGTTTTCTCTCTGTGTTGCTGGATTAGATTTGCACTTCACTGACGATTTCCTCTGACGGATCTGAGGGGGCCATTCAGCAGGTTCAGGGTCAGCCGAATCTTCCCAACGGTGACACCATGATGTCACTTCCTGTCATGAGAGCGGGGAGGTCAGATGTCGGCTCACATAGCAGTGGCGCAGTATGATTGGCTGGATTGGGGGATCCGTCTCCGAAATGGGAAATATTAGACCAGCGCGGTGCAATCACTCCATCGGGGATCATCTTCGGATGCAGAAAGACCCCGACGTGCCGCCACTCACCCGAGATCTATACAACGTCTTCCCGAAATGTTCGAGCTCCACCTGCAACGTCTGCTGTCTGATCTCCTCCATCTGTCCCCATTCTGTATATATGGACTCTGCACAGTAACACTTCTCCTGTCCTGGATGCCGGGTGTCATTCTCGGTATCTGTCCTCATTCTGTATATATGGACTCTGCACAGTCCCACTTCTGTCCTGGATGCCGGGTGTCATTCTCGATATCTGTCCCCATTCTGTATGTATGGACTCTGCACAGTCCCACTTCTCCTGTCCCGGATGCTGGGTGTGTCATTCTCGATATCTGTCCCCATTCTGTATGTATGGACTCTGCACAGTCCCACTTCTCCTGTCCCGGATGCTGGGTGTCATTCTCAGTATCTGTTCTCATTCTGTATGTATGGACTCTGCACAGTCCCACTACCACTTCTCTGTCCCTGTATGCTGGGTGTCATAATTCTCAGTATCTGTTCTCATTCTGTATGTATGGACTCTGCACAATCCCACTTCTCTTCTCCTGTATGGATGCCGGGTGTCATTCTCAGTATCTGTTCTCATTCTGTATGCACATGGACTCTGCATAATACCACTTCTCTTCCCGGATGCTGGGTGTAATTCTCAGTATCTGTTCTCATTCTGTATGTATGGACTCTGCATAGTCCCACTTCTCCTATCCTGGATGCCGGGTGTCATTCTCAGTATCTGTCCCCATTCTGTATGTATGGACTCTGCACAATCCCACTTCTCTGTCCTGGATGCCGGGTATAATTCTTGGTATCTGTTCTCATTCTGTATGCATGGACTCTGCACAGTCCCACTTCTCCTGTCCCTGGATGCCGGGTGTCAGTCTCGGTATCTGTCCCTCATTCTGTATGTATGGATATTTTTATTTTATAAACAAACAAATTACAAGGTAAATTCTCAAAACTGTAACCATCATAAAAACAAATAGCACATAAACTCTGCCAACAATCTAACAACTGCTTACATCTTCTTCACGTCAAATTCTCAGTTTAAATGAAATGATTCTGTATTTTGATACTCTAAATAATACCCATAATTCTTTCCCTGTATGCTGGGTATAATTCTCAGTATCTGTTCTCATTCTGCTCTCCTGCATGGACTCTGCATAATACCACTTCTCAGCTCCTGATGAGGGTATAGTATCTGTCAGTATGGACTGCGACTCTCATTCTGTAGTATGGACTCTGCACAGTCCCACTTCTCCTGTCCCGGATGCCGGGTGTCATTCTCAGTATCTGTCCTCATTCTGTATGTATGGACTCTGCACAGTCCCACTTCTCTGTCCTGGATGCCGGGTATCATTCTCGTATCTGTTCTCATTCTGTATGTATGGGACTCTGCATAAGTCCCACTTCTCCTGTCCCTGGATGCCGGGTGTCATTCTCAGTATCTGTTCCCATTCTGTATGTATGGACTCTGCACAGTCCCACTTCTCCTGTCCTGGATGCCGGTGTCATTCTCAGTATCTGTTCTCCCATTCTGTATGTATGGACTCTGCACAGTCCCACTTCTCCTGTCCTGGATGCCGGGTATAATTCTCAGTATCTGTTCTCATTCTGTATGTATGGACTCTGCACAATCCCACCACTTCCACTCTCTCCTGTCCTGGATGCCGGGTATAATTCTCAGTATCTGTTCTGTCCATTCTGTATGTATGGACTCTGCACAGTCCCACTTCTCCTGTCCTGGATGCCGGGTGTCATTCTCGGTATCTGTTCTCCATTCTGTATGTATGGACTCTGCACAGTCCCACTTCTCCTTCCCTGTGCCTGGGTATAATTCTCAGTATCTGTTCTCATTCTGTATGTGTCTGCATTTCTCGGTATTCTGTTCCCATTCTCAGTTCTCATTCTGTATGATGGACTCTGCACAACTCCCACTTCTCCTGTCCTGGATGCCGGGTGTCATTCTCGGTATCTGTTCCCATTCTGTATGTATGGACTCTGCACAATCCCACTTCTCCTGTCCTGGATGCCGGGTGTCATTCTCAGTATCTGTTTCTGTATGTATAGACGTCTGTACTTCTCCTGTCCTGGATGCCGGGGTGTCATTCTCAGTATCTGTCATTCTGTATGTATAGGACTCTGCCACAGTGTCCACTTCTCCTGTCCCGGATGTCGGGTGTCATTCTCGGTATCTGTCCCCATTCTGTATGTATGGACTCTGCACACAGTCCCCACTTCTCCTGTCCTGGATGCCGGGTGTCATTCTCGGTATCTGTCCCCATTCTGTATGTATGGACTCTGCACAGTCCCACTTCTCCAGTCCTGAATTCCTGGTGTACAGTCAGTTGATTTCTCCTCTTTGTTGTTACCATAAAATTCCTGAAAAAAGAAACAACAACAAACAATAAATGGAAACAAAGTAATAAAAAGTAACAATAATGAAGTAAGACATCAGAATGAATGGAGGAGTGCGGAGGAGGAAGCGGTGAGCGCAGTGCAGGGAGACTGATGGAAGAATCCTCGCCGGGGGCACCGCGGTCACATCTGCCCGTCACGGACGCTGAGACATGTGACACCGGGGGGGGGGGGGGGGGGGGGGGGGCGTCTCTGGTGTCTATGTGACGGCAGGCTGCCAACCCTACAGATCCCAATCTCCATGGCAGCACCGGATCCCCCGCCATTGGCTGCCGGTCGCTATACGTTACTCATGGCGGATTGCGTCGTCCTTCTTGAGCACCTTCTTGTGGGCGACACGATGACGGAGAATCGCCGCGTTCACCTCCCTTCCTGCAATTAACCCCGACGGGCTGACGACAAATCGAATATCCAGCGGGGGCTGGAGGGAGGCCGGTCCTCGGATTAACCCTTCCACGCCCGGCTCGCCAGCCTTCCCAATGAGGCGCAGTTCACACCGGCGGCAAAAGCGGGCGTTTCATCTGCGTTTTCGTAGCCTTACGAACGCCGGCCAGGGCTCTGCGTCAGTTCCGTGCAGTGCGCCGGATGGTGCTGTTCACGCGGCTTCCATTTGCGCCAAAATATTTATTTTATTTATTTCAGGTACTTATATAGCGCCATCAATTTTACGCAGCACTTTACATATATGTTGTACATTCACATCAGTCCCCGCCCCCGAGGAGCGTACAATCTAAGGTCCCTAACTCCCATCCATACATACACATACTAGGGACAATTAACCTACCAGCATGTCTTAGGAGTGTGGGAGGAAACCAGAGAACCCGGAGGAAACCCACGCCACGCAGGCACAGGGAGAACATGCAAACTCCAAGCAGGTGGTACCACTTTACATATATGTTGTACATTCACATCAGTCCCCGCCCCCGAGGAGTGTACAATCTAAGGTCCCTAACTCCCATCCATACATACACATACTAGGGACAGGAGCCAATTCACCTATCAGCATGTCTTTGGAGTGTGGGAGGAGGAAACCGGAGTACCCAGAGGAATCCCACGCAGGCACAGGGAGAAAATGCAAACTGCAAGCAGGTGGTACCACTTTACATATATATTGTACATTCACATCAGTCCCCGCCCCCGAGGAGCGTACAATCTAAGGTCCCTAACTCACATTCATACATTACACATACTAGGGACAGGAGCCAATTCACCTACCAGCATGTCTTTGGAGTGTGGGAGGAAACCGGAGTACCCAGAGGAAACCCACGCAGGTACAGGGAGAACATGCAAACTCCAAGCAGGTGGTGCCGTCGTGGTTGGGATTTGAACCAGCGACCCGAGTACTGCCAGGAGGAAGTGCTGACCATTTATCCACTGTGCTGCCCAAATAATAGAAATATATTCCAAATATAGTGTATGACCGGCATTACCGCCCCCCCCAAACACCTCCATTGATGTCAATGGAAACGCACCGCAAACACCCCCCATGCTGTTTACTACGCATCTGTCATGTGCTGAGAACGTGTTACTAGTCGGCCTGTGAGGTTCGTTCCATTCTGAAATTTGAATGAAAATTTTGTTATTCGGATGTATCCGAATTTCTAAATGACAATAGTAACGAATCAGAAATAACAAAAATGAGATTTCATCCGAAATTCGAATTGAATTCGAAAACAGATTGAAGTATAAACATATTGCTGATTCCCTTCAAAGACTCCGTGTATCGGGATGGATTACAGCCCTCTTCCAGAAGTAGGATTTAGGAAAAAAACTAAACAGAATAGAAAAGAATAGAAGAAAAGTCATAAAAAAAGAATAAAAAGTTCTCTCTTCCGAAATTTGAATTTCAAAGACTAGAAAAAAACAGAATAGAATAGAAAAGAATGGAATAGAATAGAATAAAAGTAGAATAAATTAGAATATCACAGAATATGTGGTCAGGGCAAAACGCGTCTGTGGTCAGGGAAAAAAAACGTCAGGGCAAAACGCGTGTGTGGTCAGGGCAAAACGTGTCTGTGGTCAGGGCAAAAACGTGTCTGTGGTCAGGACAAAACGCGTCTGTGGGTCAGGGCAAAAACGCATCTGTGGTCAGGGCAAAACGTGTCTGTGGTCAGGTCTGTGGTCAGGGAAAATGTATTCTGTGGTCAGGGAAAAACACGTGTGTGGTCAGGGAAAAAATGCGTGTGTGGTCAGGGCGGTCAGGGCAAAAACGCGTCTGTGGTCAGGGCAAAACGCGTGTCTGTGATCAGGGCAAAAGGCGTCTATGGTCAGGGCAAAACGCGTGTGTGGTCAGGGCAAAAAAATGTGTCTGTGGTCAGGGCAAAAAAAACGCCATCTGTGGCAAAACGTGGGCAAAAAGGCGTCTGTGGTCAGGGCAAAACGCGTCTGTGGTCAGGGAGGGCAAAAACGCGTCTGTGGTCAGGGAAAACAAAATGCGTGCGTCTATGGTCAGGGCAAAACACTGTCTGTGGTCAGGGCAAAAAATATCTGTGGTCCAGTCAGGGCAAAACGTGTCTGTGGTCAGGGAAAAAAAACACGTCTGTGAGGGCAAAAAAGGCGTCTATGGTCAGGGCGTGTCTGTGGGTCAGGGCAAAATGCGTGTCTGTGGTCAGGGCAAAAACGCGTGGTGTGTGGTCAGGGCAAAAACGCGTCTGTGATCAGGGCAAAACGCGTCTGTGGTCAGGGCAAAACGTGTCTGTGGTCAGGGCAAAAATGCGTGTGTGGTCAGGGCAAAACGCGTGTGTGGTCAGGGCAAAAATGCGTCTGTGGTCAGGGCAAAACGCGTCTGTGGTCAGGGCAAAAATGCGTCTGTGGTCAGGGCAAAACGCGTCTGTGGTCAGGGCAAAACGCGTCTGTGGTCAGGAGGGCAAAACGCGTCTGTGGTCAGGGCAAAACGCGTCTGTGGTCAGGGCAAAAACGCGTCTATGGTCAGGGAAAACCGCGTCTGTGGTCAGGGCAAAACGCGTCTGTGGTCAGGGCAAAACGCGTCTGTGGTCAGGGAAAACCACGTCTGTGGTCAGGGCAAAACGCGTCTGTGGTCAGGGAAAACCGCGTCTGTGGTCAGGGCAAAACGCGTCTGTGGTCAGGGAAAAACCGCGTCTGTGGTCAGGGCAAAACGCGTCTGTGGTCAGTGAAAAACACGTGTATGGTCAGGTCAAAAATTTTGGACAGAAATCTTGCAGGAAACGGGCCCTTGATGGTTTGCTCTGGGGCCCTGTTCATAGCCCCGCCCCTAGAGGCAGGGGCAGGGCGTGCCCTTGCGGCAGTATCATTTTGGATGGTTCGCCCGCCTTTCCATTTTCACCACATACACTATTTTATATCCATCTCTGTGCTTCTCTATGCCATGCAGGCAGATCATGGCTGGTGGGAGGGGCCGGCTGGGTGCTGTACATAACTTCATGAAAACCTCCCAGCACCCCCGCCTCCGTACTCCTCCCAGGAGCCTGCAGTCCTGAGGCAAGCGGTGGGAGGAGTTATGTAAATATAAAAAAAGGCCGTGATGGGTGGATGTCAGTCTGGAGGGTGGTCATCAGTCTGGAGGGGTGGGGTCAGTCTGGAGGGTGGTCATCAGTCTGGAGGGGCGGGCATCAGTCTGGAGGGTGGGCGTCAGTCTGGAGGGGTAGGGTCAGTCTGGAGGGTGGGCATCAGTCTGGAGGGGTGGGGTCAGTCTGGAGGGTGGGCGTCAGTCTGGAGGAGTGGGGTCAGTCTGGAGGGGTGGGGTCAGTCTGGAGGGTGGGCGTCAGTCTAGAGGGGTGGGGTCAGTCTGGAGGGTGGGCATCAGTCTGGAGGAGTGGGCGTCAGTCTGGAGGGGTAGGGTCAGTCTGGAGGGTGGGCATCAGTCTGGAGGGGTGGGGTCAGTCTGGAGGAGTGGGGTCAGTCTGGAGGGGTGGGGCGTCAGTCTGGAGGAGTGGGGTCAGTCTGGAGGGGTGGGGTCAGTCTGGAGGGTGGGCGTCAGTCTGGAGGAGTGGGCGTCAGTCTGGAGGAGTGGGCGTCAGTCTGGAGGGGTAGGGTCAGTCTGGAGGGTGGGCATCAGTCTGGAGGGGTGGGGTCAGTCTGGAGGGTGGGCGTCAGTCTGGAGGAGTGGGGTCAGTCTGGAGGGGTGGGCGTCAGTCTGGAGGGTGGGCGTCAGTCTGGAGGGTGGGTGTCAGTCTGGAGGGGTGTGCGTCAGTCTGGAGGGTGGGGGGGTCAGTATGGAGGAGTGGAGTCAGTCTGGAGGGGTGGGGTCAGTCTGGAGGGTGGGCGTCAGTATGCAGGAGTGGAGTCAGTCTGGAGGGGTGGGGTCAGTCTGGAGGGGCGGGCATCAGTCTGGAGGGTGGGCGTCAGTCTGGAGGGGTAGGGTCAGTCTGGAGGGTGGGCATCAGTCTGGAGGGGTGGGATCAGTCTGGAGGGGTGGGGTCAGTCTGGAGGGTGGGCGTCAGTCTGGAGGAGTGGGGGTCAGTCTGGAGGGGTGGGGTCAGTCTGGAGGGGTGGGGTCAGTCTGGAGGGTGGGCGTCAGTCTGGAGGGTGGGCGTCAGTATGGAGGAGTGGAGTCCCCATCAGAGTGTCCCCTTATATCAGAGTCCCTCCTTACATCGGAGTCACTCTTTACATGAAAGTCCCCATCAGAGTCTCTCCTTACATCGGAGTCCCCATGAGAGTCCCTCCATAAATCGGAGTCCCCATCAGAGTCCCTCCTTACATCGGAGTCCCCATGAGAGTCCCTCCTTAAATCGGAGTCCCTCCTTACACCGGAGTCCCCATCAGAGTCCCCTCCTTACATCAGAGCCCCCCCTTTACACCAAGTCATGTTATCGGTAGGTAGGATTGCTGTATCTGGTCGCTGATCTGGGATGGGGATTCTGGTTCTATCGGCGATCGGTTATTGATCTCTATGAAGGGGGTTTCAGCCCCCGGAACCCTCAGCT